AAGGACAAATCTCAAAATGCACTGATTTCTAAAAGACAGATTATCACATAATCGCAGAGAGATATAGATGAGAAGATTTGGTCCAACCAGCAAAAGGATCGAGAGAATAGATAAATGGACATGGTCGTTGTTACCGTTAAATATTTGATCGCGTTTGCATTATGTTGAATGATCGTAGTTATCGTTAATTATCTAGTCGTATTTGCATTATGTTCGTAGTCCAATCACGGTCGTAGTTATCTGGTCGCAAGCCGCAGGTCGCAGGTGCGATAAGCCGCAGCCGTGGGCCGCAGATGCCGTAGGCCGCAGGTCACATACTGGAACCTGTCCTCATTTTCTGTTTCAGGAATTTTATCAAACACCTTGTGTGTAGAAAATAAAATAATCATATGAATACCACAGAAAACCAAAAGAATATTTGATTAGATGAGATAAACTGTAAGAAATAGAGAAAATAGAGAAAATATTAGATAAAAGAGAATGACAAATCTCAAAACGCACTGATTTCTAAAAGACAGATTATCACATAATCCCAGAGAGATATAGACGAGAAGATTTTGTCCAACCAGCAAAAGGATCGAGAGAATAGGTAAATGGACATGGTCCTTGTTATCGTTAATTATTCGGTCGCATTTGCATTATGTCCAACGGTCGTAGTTATCATTAATTATCTAGTCGTATTTGTATTATGTTCGTAGTATAATCATGGTCGTAATTATCTGGTCGTAGTCGTAGTGAAATCACGGTCGCAATTATCTAATCGTAGTCGTAGTGAAATCACGGTCGCAATTATCTGGTCGTAGTCGTAATTATATAGTCGTAGTGAAATCAGGATCGCAATTATCTGGTCGTAGTCGTAGTTATATGGTCGTAGTTAAATCACGGTCGTAATTATTTGGTCGTAGTCATAGTTATATGTTCGTAGTGAAATTATGATCGCAATTATCTGGTCGTAGTCGTAGTTACCTGGTCGTAGTGAAATCATAGTCGCAGGCCGCAGGTCGCAAGTCGCAGGTGCGACATGCCGCAGGTACCGCAGTTAACCTGGCAGGTGCCGCAAGTGACCTTCCGCATACCAAATGATCTGCCGCAGACCGCATGTACCGCTGGTACCGCAGATGACCTACCGCAGGTGACGCAGGTCGCATGTGCCACAGGTGCCGCAGTTGAACTCTAGGTGCCACAAGTGACCTGCCGTAGACCAAGTGACCTGCCGCAAACCGTAGGTCATTTACGGCATATCACAGATCATCTGCCAGACCGTAGGTCATTTAACGTATAGTGCATGTCATTTTTTACAGATCGCATGTCATCGGCCGCAGTTTTTTAGTAAAGACATTTCATCAAACACCTTATGTGCATGCAAAAAAATTATCAGAATATCACAGAAAAAATCAACGAGAAGAGTATTTGAATAGATTAGATAAATTATATAAGAAATAGAGGAGATAGAAAAAAATATTGAAGGAAAAAAAAGATCAAATAGCAAAATTTACTGATTTTTAAAAGATAGATTATCACACAATCGTAGAGAAATACTGTAAAAGATAATTTGAGTATTTAGAAAAAAAAAATATAATATATAAAAGTTATTTTTTTATGAGATATTTTGTAAATTTCGTTTTTATTTGGGTATATTTTGACAACTGCTCCAAAAAAAATTATATAATTCTGGAAAAAAATCAACCCGAATGACGGTGCCACGTGATGATAAAACGGCGACTGAAGTGAATGTATTCGCAGTTGAAAAGGACGGGGTCCAACACGGCTCACCATGCCACGTGGCACGTTGTTTGTGCATATGACGTGGTGGAAATTGGAATGGCATGCCCACATGTGCACAATTTTTCTAAGTTTCCTTATTATTTTCGTTACGGATTTATGTGGGTTTTTACGCCTCGAAAGTAACATATATTGCACGCCATTATTAACATAAATAAATTCTAATTTAAATTCTTTTTATTTATTTATTTATTTGTATGTATTTAAGTCGAAAAAATAGGTGTTTTTTGCCCCGACGGAGTTTAATTGCAGTTTTAAGTGGGTTTTTGGAGCGTGGAAGCTAAATAGGAAAAAAGGTTGAACAATTTTACAATAAAAAAAATAATGAAGAAAAAAATACTCATGTAATAATTTTTTTTCATAAAGTTATAGAAGAAAGAAAAAATTATGAGAGCATGCTCTTTGGCCTCAATCATGTTAATAAATTTATCATTTTTTACCGATTGACTTGATTTCGGTTTAAAAAACACACGCAATTATATGCAAATGATTTAAATATTTTTCAAAAAATCCAAATTAATCTACATTTTAGATTTTATAAACTAATTGATTGTTTTTATTTATGTTATGATCTCATGAACATGCTGATGTTAAAATTAAATATTATTAAAATTATTTGTGTTCAACAAAGAAAAAAAAATTTTTGGAAAGGACATTATCAAAAATATTCTCCATTTGTATTTTAACTTTATGGTTATAAGATAATCATATTGGTTATAACGTTAAATTTATTATGATTACACAAAGTCATCATGGTCATACATTATATATCACACTAATAATTTGATAAATGTTTTGACATTTTAATAAAAATTTTAGAATTATAATGATATATTTTATAAATTTATTAATGAATTTGTAAGCGAAAAACTTAAGATTTAGTTTTTCATAATTTTACAAATTCAAAATTTTAACTCTTATTATAATCTCTCAAATTAAAAATAAATATAAATAAAAAATATTATATATATCTCTAACTTGAAATGGCTCATTTAATTTATAAAATTCGTAAATCGAACTCAGTCAATAATTTTTTGACTCATTAAAAAACAAGGTTGAACCCAAAACGAGCCAACTCGTGATTAGATGAGCCGAATTGACTAGTTTGACATCCATAATCTTACTTTCTATAACATTTGATTGGTTCAAATAACTTGATTTTTTAGTTGTGATTTTATATAATTGAAACTTTAAAGAAGTAAAATGAAATTTAATTCCCATAAGTGAAAAAAACAAAAAAAAAAATTACATTTGTATATTAAAGGCTCATTATTAAAATTCATGTTTAAAAACTATACAATTACATAATTATACGTATATAATTACAAAAAAAAATGTGTGTGTATATATGTTTTTTGTGGTACGTGACAAGTGCCGTTGTTCGTCAGAAATTTATTAGAGTCGCATTTAATTGCCATTGAAAAAAAAACTTTGTCTTGCTTCCATCCAAAAACAGAAAGGAAAACGTCGTTGTTAGTTTACAAAAATTGTTGAAATAATAATTGCCTAGAAAACATAATAGTAATAAATAAGCTATAAAGGTGGTGGTCCATAGTCAATCTCGTACAAAAACACGTATTTACAAAAACATATATGTTTATTTACAAACTATGTACATTCAAACATAAAAATCTCCTTAACTTAAAAAATATTAGTTTAACTATTGATATAAATCCAGATAAGTTTTTAATTTTATAAGAATATAAAATCATTACATTTATAAATATATCTACTTCAACTTTTTGTTACAAATATTTATAATAACAAAGTAATATTATAAATGAATTAAATAGATAAATTAATAAAAATGTATATTTTGTGAATGTTTTTATAAACTAGGGAATTGATTGTGAAAACTAAAATTTTACATAATATATATATATATATATTTAAAAGTTGACGATTTTTCATGTATTTTTAAAGATTATTTTTTTATTTGCTTAAAATTTTAAAAATAAGAATCATCAACATTCCATGATTTTTTAAAGTAAGGTTTGTGTGTCTTGTTTAACTTAATAAAAAATATGTTTTTATGAAATTAGAAATATGTTTTTATTAATGATTGACATTTTAAATACTTATTTTTAAATTAAATGTTCTAAAATATTTTTAAAAAATTATTTAGATTTATGAACAATTAACTTTTAAATAGCTTTTTTTTTTAAATTTAATATTTGTAAATATTTTCTTTTACATATACATAATTACAATTTTGTAGGTAGATAAATAATTAAGAATTATATGTTTTTATTGTTAATAGAATGACATTTAGTTTGTTTTTGTTATATATATATATATATATCAAGATTTTAATTTGAACAAATTAACATATAATATGATAATTATCTGGTACATTTTTATATTTAAATAAAAACCATCTTAGTTCCCTTAAAATACGCACATATCTACTAGAATGCCTAATATTTAGTAAATTTATTTAGGTAATATTATATTTTTTAATTATTCTTAACAGATAAATTATGAATATAAATTACTAAATATTTAATTAAATTAAATCCACAAACAAAACAAAAGAATGTGATGCGTAAAATGTGTCAAAATAAGCGCGTTACTTTTCATGATATTAATTGATGCCATTATTATATATATACTCTTAACCGCAAACCACCACCCATCAATTTTCAAGATTCCTTTCTTTTTATGTTTTTACAGAATTAATTCCTTATCAGGGATTCATATTTAATTATTTAAGTATATATATTTAAAGAGATACAAAATGCAAAAAAAAAGGTCTTTTGTGCACCCGCATTTTATAACCTTGTACGACAATTTTTTTTTTTTGCTATATATCCCAAATGATAAATGTTAAAAAAATTAATTATGTACGTAGATTCGTATTTAATTTTGAATTACCTTAATTTCTATCTTTACAGATCAAAATCCAACAATTAGATTTTGATAAAAATAAAAGTATCTTAAAACTTTTTAGAAAATATGGGTTTTCAAAAATGTTTATTTTCCGTGCAGAAACAAAAAAAAAATCCATCTAATTCCGGGGAAATCTATGTAAAAATACAAAAACACCCTCTTTTAATTCTGTGGGAAACCACGTGGGCCAAGACGCGAAGGGGACAGAAGCCGAAAGCGAGGGTAAAACAGTAAATATTAAAATCAGCTGGTATGTTTTCTCTCTGAGCTGTTCCACGCAGTAGTATATTTTTATGTAACTATAAAAACAGTCGCCGTTTGACTCTCTCCCCTCGAACCCGAAACGGATCATTGTGGCTGTTCCTCCTCTCTTCTCCAATACTTTTTTTTTTTTAATTCGAATTTTTTTTCCGTCGCCATTTTTGTTGTTCCCATGAGAGACTGAGAAGAAAACTCAGTAGACAACTGCTTTGATTCGAGTTCTTTCTCGAGGAAAAGGAGACAATATCGACGAACAGGAGAAATGAGGATTCCATGGCTTCTTCTGGTTTCGACTCTCCAGGAAAGGCCTCTCTCTCTCTCTCTCTGTGTGTGTTTTTTATGCATCACCTTTGTTTTGTCCCACATTTTTGTTCTCGGTCGGTTCTCTTTCTCCAATCTTCTCTTATTGATTTTGTGTTTTTTTTAATTCCTGATATTTGTTTTAGGTCGAGCACATCGCTGCTGTGATTTTGAAATTGGTTTTCTCCGATCTCGATTCGAGACGAGAGACTTTTGCTTTTCTTCTATGTTTTCTCTGTTTAATGATTTCCGATTCGAATTTGTATCAGCGAAGAGCAAAACTCTGAGATTCACGAGCTTCTACGTTTCCCTTTCCGAGTTTCTAATCCAACCGTAGACTGATCCAGAATCCGGCAATTCCGAGTTCGATCTGTATAATTCCGAATCTCCGTGAATTTTGACGGGTTTTCGTCGATTTGTTGATGCAGATTTTGTTAACCCTCTGCGGAGTCGGAGCACAGAGCTCACCTTCGAAAGGAGTAAAGCATGCCGCTGGATATTGCGCCATGTATAATATCTGTGGAGCACGCGCTGACGGAAAATTACTAAATTGCCCCTTCAACACCCCCGCCGTGAAGGTAAAAGGAGATTCGCGTGGGGATTGCCGAAAACACGGGGGGAATATGGATTTGTTTTTTTTTTGGGGGTTTTAATTTAGTTGCGGTCTTGGTGATTTTCAGCCTGATGATTTGCTATCTTCCAAGATACAAAGCTTGTGCCCGACGATCACGGGCAACGTTTGCTGTACAGAAACCCAATTCGATACACTACGCACACAAGTTCAGC